GACCAGAGTTAAAGATTGATCTAGATCCAACCGATAAATTATACAGGCCCATTTTTCAAAATCGTTGTCTGTGGGATTCAAACTCTAGACCTGCCGCTTGAAGAGGGTGATGACTAGACCACTATACTAAGTTACTACATCTCCAAAATAGTGAAAATATAGTAAAAGGTCTTTGATTGCAGATACTTTCAAAACTTCTAAAAAGTGTGTTAAAATTCAAAACTTTTGTTATTTCCCTTGTGTTTTTCTTCGAAGTAACAGCCTAGGGCTTCGTCAACAAAGTAGCAGCCTACTATATAACTTACTTCCTTCACCAAGATTTTTTATATAAGAGCATCAGGGTAGCAAGCCCCTACTAGTTATCTTGTATAATAACGCTCCTGGCTTGCATACTGAATATTCTTTTAGAGAAGTCCTTTAGAAAAGCAGTTGACCTCTAAACAAACTGCACCATAGAGCCATGTTTCTCCAACAAAAATTTTGTTTTCTGTTAATCAAAATTTTGGTACAAGTAATTGTTGAGGTGAGTTGGAAGGATGTATTTATACTTTATTAATATATATATATTTATATTTATATATATATATATTTATAACTCTTTTTATAAGAACCACTAGTTCATTATGTATAAAAAGAATTGACTATATATAAATTATGGTAAATAGCATGCCTATAGTCAAACTATAAATCTTAAATATGCGAGTTTAAAAAATATTATAACAAGAAAGAAAATTGAATAAATTAAGTATAATAATTACACAAATATAAATAAATTGCCTGATTAGTAGTTGATGTTGTGTTTTATAAGAGAATTTCCTACTCTTTCTATTTTTTTATTTAGTTAAATCATTGTAATGCAATACCTTGTTGGTCTTCTAATTAGTAACTTTGATAAAACAATAACTCAAAATGACTCTATTTGTGAAATAGCTATACTTGTATATAAGAAGAAAGCAAAACATAGAGAATACTTTTTAGTAGACGAGAAGCTTGCACTAAATGATAGTAATACTGATAAATGTTCTCTATTTTGATCTTATTTTGTTGAAAAATATTTCAAGATATAAGGATTATATAAAATTCCGGTGTGAAACAAATTTAGAAAAAATGCTTCAAAACTACTATAAACTACTAAAATCACTAAGAGAAATTGAAAAAAAATTATTAAATTATATTGAAAAATACTAATATTCAAGCAAAATATATTGTGATGAATTATTTGAAACAGATAAAAGGATATTAAAGCAAAATGAAGTAACAGATGTTTTGAATAGTTATCTACCTAAATACGCAAATAGTCAATATTTCGATATTTTTTTCATTAATTGGTTGCATGATATACTACTGGGAAGTTTGAAGGATCTGGTAAAAATCAAAAGAGAACATTATTTTATCAAACGATTTTGTTTTTAATAATACCAATCATATAACTAAAAAAGTAAAATGTAGTGTACTTTCAGTATTTGATAAGCTGTTAATATTCAGTAAATTGAGATTCTATGAAAAACAATTTCTATATATATTGGAAATTCTGATATAGATTTATTTATTATTTTTTTTTTTTAACGTTAAGAAGACCTTTTTGGCCTGAAAGCTTTTATTAGAATTTGAAATAGTATTTTATATGCAATTATAACGATGGT